TGGTCGCTAGTCACGGTGGTCTGTAGTACCAGGCTGGTCGCTAGTCACGGTGGTCTGTAGTACCAGGCTGGTCGCTAGTCACGGTGGTCTGTAGTACCAGGCTGGTCGCTAGTCACGGTGGTCTGTAGTACCAGGCTGGTCGCTAGTCACGGTGGTCTGTAGTACCAGGCTGGTCGCTAGTCACGGTGGTCTGTAGTACCAGGCTGGTCGCTAGTCACGGTGGTCTGTAGTACCAGGCTGGTCGCTAGTCACGGTGGTCTGTAGTACCAGGCTGGTCGCTAGTCACGGTGGTCTGTAGTACCAGGCTGGTCGCTAGTCACGGTGGTCTGTAGTACCAGGCTGGTCGCTAGTCACGGTGGTCTGTAGTACCATGCTGGTCGCTAGTCACGGTGGTCTGTAGTACCAGGCTGGTCGCTAGTCACGGTGGTCTGTAGTACCAGGCTGGTCGCTAGTCACGGTGGTCTGTAGTACCAGGCTGGTCGCTAGTCACGGTGGTCTGTAGTACCAGGCTGGTCGCTAGTCACGGTGGTCTGTAGTACCAGGCTGGTCGCTAGTTACGGTGGTCTGTAGTAGCAGACTGGTCGCTAGTCACGGTGGTCTGTAGTAGCAGACTGGTCGCTAGTCACGGTGGTCTGTAGTAGCAGACTGGTCGCTAGTCACGGTGGTCTGTAGTAGCAGACTGGTCGCTAGTCACGGTGGTCTGTAGTAGCAGACTGGTCGCTAGTCACGGTGGTCTGTAGTAGCAGACTGGTCGCTAGTCACGGTGGTCTGTAGTACCAGGCTGGTCGCTAGTCACGGTGGTCTGTAGTACCAGGCTGGTCGCTAGTCACGGTGGTCTGTAGTACCAGGCTGGTCGCTAGTCACGGTGGTCTGTAGTACCAGGCTGGTCGCTAGTCACGGTGGTCTGTAGTACCAGGCTGGTCGCTAGTCACGGTGGTCTGTAGTACCAGGCTGGTCGCTAGTCACGGTGGTCTGTAGTACCAGGCTGGTCGCTAGTCACGGTGGTCTGTAGTACCAGGCTGGTCGCTAGTCACGGTGGTCTGTAGTACCAGGCTGGTCGCTAGTCACGGTGGTCTGTAGTACCAGGCTGGTCGCTAGTCACGGTGGTCTGTAGTACCAGGCTGGTCGCTAGTCACGGTGGTCTGTAGTACCAGGCTGGTCGCTAGTCACGGTGGTCTGTAGTACCAGGCTGGTCGCTAGTCACGGTGGTCTGTAGTACCAGGCTGGTCGCTAGTCACGGTGGTCTGTAGTACCAGGCTGGTCGCTAGTCACGGTGGTCTGTAGTACCAGGCTGGTCGCTAGTCACGGTGGTCTGTAGTACCAGGCTGGTCGCTAGTCACGGTGGTCTGTAGTACCAGGCTGGTCGCTAGTCACGGTGGTCTGTAGTACCAGGCTGGTCGCTAGTCACGGTGGTCTGTAGTACCAGGCTGGTCGCTAGTCACGGTGGTCTGTAGTACCAGGCTGGTCGCTAGTCACGGTGGTCTGTAGTACCAGGCTGGTCGCTAGTCACGGTGGTCTGTAGTACCAGGCTGGTCGCTAGTCACGGTGGTCTGTAGTACCAGGCTGGTCGCTAGTCACGGTGGTCTGTAGTACCAGGCTGGTCGCTAGTCACGGTGGTCTGTAGTACCAGGCTGGTCGCTAGTCACGGTGGTCTGTAGTACCAGGCTGGTCGCTAATCACGGTGGTCTGTAGTACCAGGCTGGTCGCTAGTCACGGTGGTCTGTAGTACCAGGCTGGTCGCTAGTCACGGTGGTCTGTAGTACCAGGCTGGTCGCTAGTCACGGTGGTCTGTAGTACCAGGCTGGTCGCTAGTCACGGTGGTCTGTAGTACCAGGCTGGTTGCTAGTCACGGTGGTCTGTAGTACCAGGCTGGTTGCTAGTCACGGTGGTCTGTAGTACCAGGCTGGTCGCTAGTCACGGTGGTCTGTAGTACCAGGCTGGTCGCTAGTCACGGTGGTCTGTAGTACCAGGCTGGTCGCTAGTCACGGTGGTCTGTAGTACCAGGCTGGTCGCTAGTCACGGTGGTCTGTAGTACCAGGCTGGTCGCTAGTCACGGTGGTCTGTAGTACCAGGCTGGTCGCTAGTCACGGTGGTCTGTAGTACCAGGCTGGTCGCTAGTCACGGTGGTCTGTAGTACCAGGCTGGTCGCTAGTCACGGTGGTCTGTAGTACCAGGCTGGTCGCTAGTCACGGTGGTCTGTAGTACCAGGCTGGTCGCTAGTCACGGTGGTCTGTAGTACCAGGCTGGTCGCTAGTCACGGTGGTCTGTAGTACCAGGCTGGTCGCTAGTCACGGTGGTCTGTAGTACCAGGCTGGTCGCTAGTCACGGTGGTCTGTAGTACCAGGCTGGTCGCTAGTCACGGTGGTCTGTAGTACCAGGCTGGTCGCTAGTCACGGTGGTCTGTATTACCAGGCTGGTCGCTAGTCACGGTGGTCTGTAGTACCAGGCTGGTCGCTAGTCACGGTGGTCTGTAGTACCAGGCTGGTCGCTAGTCACGGTGGTCTGTAGTACCAGGCTGGTCGCTAGTCACGGTGGTCTGTAGTACCAGGCTGGTCGCTAGTCACGGTGGTCTGTAGTACCAGGCTGGTCGCTAATCACGGTGGTCTGTAGTACCAGGCTGGTCGCTAGTCACGGTGGTCTGTAGTACCAGGCTGGTCGCTAGTCACGGTGGTCTGTAGTACCAGGCTGGTCGCTAGTCACGGTGGTCTGTAGTACCAGGCTGGTCGCTAGTCACGGTGGTCTGTAGTACCAGGCTGGTCGCTAGTCACGGTGGTCTGTAGTACCAGGCTGGTCGCTAGTCACGGTGGTCTGTAGTACCAGGCTGGTCGCTAGTCACGGTGGTCTGTAGTACCAGGCTGGTCGCTAGTCACGGTGGTCTGTAGTACCAGGCTGGTCGCTAGTCACGGTGGTCTGTAGTACCAGGCTGGTCGCTAGTCACGGTGGTCTGTAGTACCAGGCTGGTCGCTAGTCACGGTGGTCTGTAGTACCAGGCTGGTCGCTAGTCACGGTGGTCTGTAGTACCAGGCTGGTCGCTAGTCACGGTGGTCTGTAGTACCAGGCTGGTCGCTAGTCACGGTGGTCTGTAGTACCAGGCTGGTCGCTAGTCACGGTGGTCTGTAGTACCAGGCTGGTCGCTAGTCACGGTGGTCTGTAGTACCAGGCTGGTCGCTAGTCACGGTGGTCTGTAGTACCAGGCTGGTCGCTAGTCACGGTGGTCTGTAGTACCAGGCTGGTCGCTAGTCACGGTGGTCTGTAGTACCAGGCTGGTCGCTAGTCACGGTGGTCTGTAGTACAAGGCTGGTCGCTAGTCACGGTGGTCTGTAGTACCAGGCTGGTCGCTAATCACGGTGGTCTGTAGTACCAGGCTGGTCGCTAGTCACGGTGGTCTGTAGTACCAGGCTGGTCGCTAGTCACGGTGGTCTGTAGTACCAGGCTGGTCGCTAGTCACGGTGGTCTGTAGTACCAGGCTGGTCGCTAGTCACGGTGGTCTGTAGTACCAGGCTGGTTGCTAGTCACGGTGGTCTGTAGTACCAGGCTGGTTGCTAGTCACGGTGGTCTGTAGTACCAGGCTGGTCGCTAGTCACGGTGGTCTGTAGTACCAGGCTGGTCGCTAGTCACGGTGGTCTGTAGTACCAGGCTGGTCGCTAGTCACGGTGGTCTGTAGTACCAGGCTGGTCGCTAGTCACGGTGGTCTGTAGTACCAGGTTGGTCGCTAGTCACGGTGGTCTGTAGTACCAGGTTGGTCGCTAGTCACGGTGGTCTGTAGTACCAGGCTGGTCGCTAGTCACGGTGGTCTGTAGTACCAGGTTGGTCGCTAGTCACGGTGGTCTGTAGTACCAGACTGGTCGCTAGTCACGGTGGTCTGTAGTACCAGACTGGTCGCTAGTCACGGTGGTCTTTAGTCACAGGTTTTACTGTGCATTGCATAGACGTAGAGGGACAATGTACTCGTACGAGTATTATGCTTCTCTATAATTCTTTTCTGGCATCCCTGCACTCTGTTTACATACCAATGGTCTTTCCAGATCTTGTGACCTGCTTTGAATCTTTCATTCCGAAAGCTAAAAACAAGAATAAAACAGTAGTTGCTATGTCTCGTAATATTGGCCGGTGTTTCCGCCGAGTCTTGAGATGTTGCAATAAATAAATAAATAAATAAATGTTGTTGCTATGCAGTTGCCATGGTTACCATGCTCGAAACTTCAACGGCTAATTTCGGTACCTTCCATCACGTTTGCAGGGTAAAAAAATTATATCGTGGAGCTCCTTGTGGTCCCTCTACACGTTAAAACACTCAAAAAGCTGTGCACTCTCAACTGCAACAATATTTTGGGCTCCTGGCCCCCCTGTACCGTAAAGTACCGCCAGAGCGCCCCACCATCTCATCCTTTCGTGGTCGTAATGTGGAGGTGGTCTGCTGTCTATAGGTCATTCGACATGAACCTTGTACACATATTGCACGTTTTGCAGTCAATCCGTACCTTCGAGCGGACACAAGCTCCACACAAAAACCTGCCAAGTGTGACCTTAGTACACTAAGATTATCACATCGTACAAACTTCGTTGCACACTGCCATACGATTTTCCTTTCTCAGGCTGTATTATTATTATTATTATTATTATTATCAAATTTTTGATAGGGCAATCCCCACAGGCCGTGTAAAATCAAGGTGGGACGCTCTCGCGAGACGGGGCGCTCTGGCGGTACTTTACGGTACTATTATTTAGCAAAACGGCACGTTCCCGTGGGATTGTGCGTGTTGGAGCTGTTGTTATTGTACTTGTATTGATTTGGTGCATACTTATCTGCGTGTATATGTGCACAAGTGTGCACAAGTGAAGTAGGCATCCCCGCTTACATTGCGATAGTGCTTATAATAATAATATGTGCAACTTACGTTTGTCTGAAGGGTGCACCTACAACTATCACACTCACTTGCTCATGCGTGCGTGCACGTGTGCCTATGCGCGTCTGTATGTGCCTCTCTCCGTCTCTGCAGGCCCGCAAGATCGAGATGATCAACGCCCAGAACCTGACCTTTCAGCTGGGAGTCAACCAGTTTGCCGACATGACCGATGAGGAGTACGCACAGATGCTTGGCTATCGCCAGGACAAGTCTCTGAGCAGCGCCGAGTCTTTCGTTGGCAGCCCTGACGTGAAGCCGCCCGCCGAGGTCGACTGGGTCGCCAAGGGATACGTCACACCAATCAAGAACCAGGTATGTGTTTGCAAGACCTATGGTGTCAAGGCTTGAGTCTCCACTGCCACTTTGGTGGTGATAGTAAAGAGGTTCTGCAAAACGAAAAATGCGTACAAACGTTCGCTCTACGTCATGAAGTGCGAAACTTGGCACGAACTTTCGCAACTTTGGATGCGAAACTTGCAGGGATGGCGAAGTGAACTGTCGTAGGAAGTTTCGTGCAATGGGCCCATGGCATACGTGTACTTGACCCGTGTATACTACGAAAATATGCAGAACGCAAAGTTCGTGCGAAAATTTGTACCTACTTTCGCATAGCCAGTCTCTCTAGCTACCAGAAGCTAAACGTGGAGCAGACAATGGCCATGTCAAACCAGCGAACCGCTACTGGAGTTGCCATGTCAAACCAGCTAACCGCTACTGGAGTTGCCATGTCAAACCAGCGAACCGCTACTGGAGTTGCCATGTCAAACCAGCGAACCGCTACTGGAGTTGCCATGTCAAACCAGCGAACCGCTACTGGAGTTGCAAGTAAACCAATGTACATCAAGCGCACAAGCATAGCCGTCACCTAGTGCAAGTACAGTGATACCTGTCTAAGACGACCGCTCAAGGGACCTTCAAAATGTGGTCTCTGTTGCCAGGTGGTCTCCGTATCCAGGGCCGTTTGACTGGAAATAGCATCCCTTGGTCCTGGTTACAGTGGTCTTCTGGGGCAGGTGGTCACCTTATCCGAGTGGTCGCCTTGACAGGTTTTACTGTACAAGATTAGGACGACAGTGCCAACTCCCGCTACTCTGCAGCTACCTACTCTATCTAGCTTTGACGAGTTACATGTGTGTGTGTGTGATACCAGGCTTTCCAAGCTTACAGCAACCAGTTGTAGATACCCTTACCTTACCTCTGTCAGATCCTGCGCCGGTTGTGCCCTTTGACAGCATCGACGATCTCCTCAGAAGTCTACATGTAGATGACGAAAGCCATCTGCCTTGGAGAAGCCACAGTAAGAGCCAGCTCCATCTGGTGCTCCATCACTTCCCGTAAAATTCGCCTTTCAGAAGTCTGAACTTGTCCCTTTGTCTCTCTCTATCTTACTGTCATGTTTCACTTGCTTGCAACGCTGTTATGATGGTAATGTATTGATGAAGAGTGCAGGTTCAGACCGGTACTATGCCACAACTATGTATGTCGTATGTGGATGGCAGTCTGAAACACAATCAGATATGTACGGTCAGGGCAGGTATCGTTGATTCAGGCCCCGAGAGCGTAGCCCTCGGCCGAAGGCCTTGGGCTACGCTCTCGGGGCCTGAATCAACGATACTGCCCTGACATCCATGTCTGATTCTATACTTCTTGTGTGCTATATCTTGGGTGTGTGTGTGTGCTCACACGCAGGGCGCATGTGGCTCCAGCTGGGCGTTCAGCACGACCGGCTCCACCGAAGGCCAGCACTTCAAGAAGACTGGCAACCTTGTCTTGCTGTCCGAGCAGAACCTGATTGACTGCAGCCAAAAGGAGGGTGATCGTGGCTGTGGCGGAGGTTTCATGGACTATGGCTTCAAGTACATCATCGAGAACCACGGCATTGACACAGAGGAGAGCTACCCTTACACGGCCAAGGCCGGTACATGCCGCTTCAAGGAGTCCCACGTCGGCGCCACCCTCACCAGCTACAAGGACGTCCTGCCCCGCAAGTCCGAGAGCGCCCTGCAGGAGGCTGTTGCCTCGGTAAATACTTTTCTTACACATAAAAGAATACTCTCTGCATGGTGGCCCATATTAGAAGCTGTGTCTTAGGAGAACATATCCGGCTAAAGATAAGAAAGCTTTATCATACATGTATATACCACTCTTTGGTTTTAGATTATTACAATGAGAGTGCACAATCAATGGCTTGTCCACCAACTCTTTGTTTTACTGCTTGCTGCACCACAGCATAGTGTGTTGTTGGCCGGCCCACTGCGCTTCTACTCTGTTGGACCATCGTGTCTGTTGAACCAGGGAGTCGTAAAATACCGGTATTTTAAGACTCCCTGTGTTCAACCATTGTGTCATCATGTCTGTTGCAGCTTTCCCGGTCAGCTTATTGACTCTTGTTGTCGTTAAGAAATCTGATGATGTAAAATAGTGGTGTGGATGTTTTGAAAGTGCTACAGTCTGTTTCGGATGTGAAATATTTCCCAGCACTTGATTGCATTCGGCGATGTATAGAAACATATACATGTAATTGTAATACTCTTCACTCTCTGTGTGTTCTCTTCTGTTCCTGCCGGCTGTCGTATCGCAGGTTGGCCCAGTGTCGATTGCCATCGACGCCTCATCGACGTATTTCCGCTACTACAAGCACGGAGTCCTGATCGACAACAAGTGCACCAACGCTTACCCGAATCACGCTGCCCTGGTTGTCGGCTACGGTGTTGAGGAAGAGCAGGACTACTGGCTGGTCAAGAACACCTGGGGTACCAGCTGGGGAGACAAGGGATACATCAGGACGGCACGTAACCATGACAACATGTGCGGGATCGCCACGGACGCCAGCTATCCGATCGCCTAAGCACACATCGCCGGGACAGCGCCGTCAAAGAAAAAGCGCTCGCACACGCCTTTGTCGTGTGATGTTGTAACTTATCTACCATCAGTATAGCTGATTGCCACCGCCACAGCTGCTGCTGCTGCTGCTGCTGCTGCTGCTTGTGTGGCGCAATCTTCCTTACACTATCAGCCCGGATCATCCATTCGCGCTATGATCCAAGCTTGCAGCCTATATCAATCCTATCTTCTGAAAATTGTGGTCAGCTTGCTGTCTGATGATCGATTAAAACCGTGAAACTCAGAGTTACAGAAGAAACGCTTTTCATCCCTCTCAAGTGTGTTTATTTTATATAATGTATAATATTATTTCACCGTCCAATGGCAGAAGCCAATGCAAAGGAGGGGGCGTTAGCCCTCCATGGCAAGAGAAGGAAAAAAAGAAAAGAACATAATTATGTGACTCCCGTCCTGAATCCGACAAATGGCATACCAGTCTAACTGTACAATGTAGCTAGTGTGTTCAGCAGTAGCAGCAGTCGTCCCCTTTATTCTCATTCTCCTGTTCTTCTCTGCTGTACTGGCATTGTCAAGGTTTACTGTCTCGCTCTGCCAACGTCACTGTGCGTGATCATGTATGTCGCTGTGTTCGACAGTTTTGACTTTTCTCCGAGTTTATGTGGGCCAGTTCTGGGATGCTGTTTGCCGCTGTGAGCGTTTTGTTCTCTTTCGTAAAATCGATACTGGACTCTGTGCGTTGTTGTTGCACTTGCTTGCGCGAGCACGCACCCGGCACGCGTGCGTGCATCAGATTATTCCGTTCTTGGGGTGCATTGCTACCAGGGAGTAGTATATTTTAATACCATACCTACTACTGCCTGATTGCTGCGGACAAATCTGAGCACGGGGGTATTACATCAATGAGGATGCCGAAATACTACAATAATTATTGATTTGAAACTCGGATGTTGAGCCATAAATAAATGTAGAAGAGAAAAGGACATATGGATACGAGTTAAGAGTAACTCTCCATCACTGTAACATGATACTATATACAGTCAGAAAGTGCAATAATATTGCACTTTCTGACTGTATAATTATAGTATCATGTTACAGTGATGGAGAGTTACTCTTAACTCGTATCCATATGTCCTTTTCTCTTATAATTATTGATCAGAATGATTTCGAAGAAAGTAAAATGAGCGCACACATACCACGAGAACAGTGGAACAATAATTATGACAATTCATTCTATTGATTATCACATAATAATAATTCGCGGGATTCGCGTTGGCATCGCTTGAATGTTCAGAAACACACAAACTAGCCTTCGCTTCCGCAGGCCACCACTATGCCTATGCCTTGCACACCTTAGTGGCGAATGCAAACCTCACAAGTGAGTCAGGCATGAGAACGACGTTCAAATCATAACATTGTTTGTATGATTTGAACGTCGTTTTCACGTGATAATCATCAGAAATCTTCATCCCAATGATAGTTTTGTAACATGGGAAATTGTGGGCACAAGTTATGCGATGTTACAATTTTTTCCTTGGCTCACCATCTGAGTTCTTACAAGTTACAATGATAATTGGACAACAAAGGAAAGATATTTATGGTACTATAAAGGTGAACTCGGGTATTGAGCCAATAATAAAAGTAGAAAGGAAAGGGACATAATGGAAACGAAGGTGAACATTATTAGATCTAAAACTAATACAAGAAACACTGATATTCTAAAGCTAGCACTATTGGAGGCGAGATTACAAGTCATTAGCCTGGCAACCATTGACCAAAGCTGCAGCCAGGGCACCCTGCGATCGTGTATCATTCGCCTATGTATGGAAACTGCGCACCCTCTCGTGATCATCGCGTGAGTGACCGCTCAAAATGTTGCATTCGGCGCTCGGCATTGCATTCTTGTTGTGGCTTGCTCTTGGGAGAAATAGACTTCAAAAACACAATTGGAAGAGAATTCCGGCATGGCCATATGGGGGATTGCCAAAACAATTGTGACAAAACTCAAAATTGACCCATTTGTGGCCAAAATCTAGGATACTTCTTTATCCTAGCTTTTGACACTTTGTCAAAAGCTAGGATATCATCTCTTTCTGAATGGACTGATAGCTGATATCGTCAAAGCGTACCAAAAAAAACTGCAAGCTACGCATACGCTCACTGAGGGTTCTACTGTAGTAACATCAACAGAGCCGCCGTCAGGATTTTGCTCCTTCTATTTTGTTGTTTTTCGCCAAATTTCATCTCTCTCGCTTCCGTTCGCTCGTTCGCAAAGATGAAGTGCTTGATCATTCTGGCGCTGGTCGCCGCCGTATCGGCCAAGTCCGTACTGGAGGAGCTAAAGATCTCCGAGGAGTGGGATACCTTCAAGAGTCTTGAAGGTATCCCTTGATGTATCCCGTGTCTACCCAGCTGGTACCCAAGGTGTTCTTGACCAGCCAGTAGTCCTGCTCCTCCTCAACACCGTAGCCGACAACCAGGGCAGCGTGATTCGGGTAAGCGCTGGTGCACTTGTTGTCGATCAGGACTCCGTGCTTGTAGTAGCGGAAATACGTCGATGAGGCGTCGATGGCAATCGACACTGGGCCAACCTGCGATACGACAGCCGGCAGGAACAGAAGAGAACACACAGAGAGTGAAGAGTATTACAATTACATGTATACGTTTCTATACATCGCCGAATGCAATCAAGTGCTGGGAAATATTTCACATCCGAAACAGACTGTAGCACTTTCAAAACATCCACACCACTATTTTACATCATCAGATTTCTTAACGACAACAAGAGTCAATAAGCTGACCGGGAAAGCTGCAACAGACATGATGACACAATGGTTGAACACAGGGAGTCTTAAAATACCGGTATTTTACGACTCCCTGGGTCAACAGACACGATGGTCCAACAGAGAAGAAGCGCAGTGGGCCGGCCAACAACACACTATGCTGTGGTGCAGCGAGCAGTAAAACAAAGAGTTGGTGGACAAGCCATTGATTGTGCACTCTCATTGTAATATCTAAAACCAAAGAGTGGTATATACATGTATGATAAAGCTTTCTTATCTTTAGCCGGATATGTTCTCCTAATACACAGCTTCTAATATGGGCCACCATGCAGAGAGTATTCTTTTATGTGTAAGAAAAGTATTTACCGAGGCAACAGCCTCCTGCAGGGCGCTCTCGGACTTGCGCGGCAGCACGTCCTTGTAGCTGGTGAGGGTGGCGCCGACGTGGGACTCCTTGAAGCGGCATGTACCGGCCTTGGCCGTGTAAGGGTAGCTCTCCTCTGTGTCAATTGCGTGGTTCTCGATGATGTACTTGAAGCCATGGTCCATGAAACCTCCGCCACAGCCACGATCAGCCTCCTTTTGGTTGCAGTCAATCAGGTTCTGCTCGGACAGCGAGACAAGTTTGCCAGTGTTCTTGAAGTCCTGGCCTTCGGTGGAGCCGGTCGTGCTGAACGCCCAGCTGGAGCCGCATGCACCCTGCGTGTGAGCACACACACACACCACGCACACACACACACACACACACACACACACACACACACACACACCCAAGATATAGCACACAAGAAGTATAGAATCAGACATGGATGTCAAGGCAGTATCGTTGATTCAGTCCCCGAGAGCGTAGCCCAAGGCCTTCGGCCGAGTGCTACGCTCTCGGGGCCTGAATCAACGATACCTGCCCTGACCGTACATATCTGATTGTGTTTCAGACTGCCATCCACATACGACATACATAGTTGTGGCATAGTACCGGTCTGAACCTGCACTCTTCATCAATACATTACCATCATAACAGCGTTGCAAGCAAGTGAAACATGACAGTAAGATAGAGAGAGACAAAGGGACAAGTTCAGACTTCTGAAAGGCGAATTTTACGGGAAGTGATGGAGCACCAGATGGAGCTGGCTCTTGCTGTGGCTTCTCTAAGGCAGACGGCTTTCGTCATCTACATGTAGACTTCTGAGGAGATCGTCGATGCTCTCAAAGGGCACAACCGGCGCAGGATCTGACAGAGGTAAGGTAAGGGTATCTACAACTGGTTGCTGTAAGCTTGGAAAGCCTGGTATCACACACACACATGTAACTCGTCAAAGCTAGATAGAGTAGGTAGCAGCAGAGTAGCGGGAGTTGGCACTGTCGTCCTAATCTTGTACAGTAAAACCTGTCAAGGCGACCACTCGGATAAGGTGACCACCTGCCGCAGAAGACCGCTGTAACCAGGACCACGCGATGCTATTTCCAGTCAAACGGCCCTGGATACGGAGACCACCTGGCAACAGAGACCACATTTTGAAGGTCCCTTGAGCGGTCATCTTAGACAGGTATCACTGTACTTGCACTAGGTGACGGCTATGCTTGTGCGCTTGATGTACATTGGTTTACTTGCAACTCCAGTAGCGGTTCGCTGGTTTGACATGGCAACTCCAGTAGCGGTTCGCTGGTTTGACATGGCAACTCCAGTAGTGGTTAGCTGGTTTGACATGGCAACTCCAGTAGTGGTTCGCTGGTTTAACATGGCAACTCCAGTAGTGGTTAGCTGGTTTGACATGGCCATTGTCTGCTCCACGTTTAGCTTCTGGTAGCTAGAGAGACTGGCTATGCGAAAGTAGGTACAAATTTTCGCACGAACTTTGTGTTCTGCATATTTTTGTAGTTTACACGGGTCAAGTACACGTATGCCATGGGCCCATTGCACGAAAATTCCTACGACAGTTCACTTCGCCATCCCTGCAAGTTTCGCATCCAAAGTTGCGAAAGTTCGTGCCAAGTTTTGCACTTCATGACGTAGAGCGAACGTTTGTACGCATTTTCGTTTTGCAGAACCTCTTTACTATCACCACCAAAGTGGCAGTGGAGACTCAAGCCTTGACACCATACGTCTTGCAAACACGTACCTGGTTCTTGATTGGTGTGACGTATCCCTTGGCGACCCAGTCGACCTCGGCGGGCGGCTTCACGTCAGGGTTGCCAACGAAAGACTCGGCGCTGCTCAGAGACTTGTCCTGGCGATAGCCAAGCATCTGTGCGTACTCCTCATCGGTCATGTCGGTAAACTGGTTGACTCCCAGCTGAAAGGTCAGGTTCTGGGCGTTGATCTTCTCGATCTTGCGGGCCTGCAGAGACGGAGAGAGGCACATACAGACGCGCATAGGCACACGTGCACGCACGCATGAGCAAGTGAGTGTGATAGTTGTAGGTTGGTTGGTTGGTTTTTATTTCACTTCGCACATTCAAACGGGATGACGACCCAATAAAATGACGGCGAAGGCTTAGCCTAGAAGTGGCTATGGAAGAACATAGTAAAAGCTATGGAAGCACATAGTAAGAGAATAGGATACTAATAACTGCGGGTAAACGGGGGAGAGAGAGAATACGATGTATCTGTGATACTACGTGCGGGTTACTGAACTGCACGGGGAGGGAGAGCAGACCGATCAGCAGCAACTCGAACTACTCCCTACAGGCGTATGGTACACATGCATGCTTAAACTCAGGTAGCCGGGTAATTGTGCGGACCTCACCAGGGAGAGCGTTCCACAGCAGAGCACCAGCAACAGAAAATCTCCGCTGACCGCGGCGTCTACGGTTTGCCTGGCTTAGTAGGCCATTTGACTGCTGATGGCGGGTTGGGGTGCCTTGTGCCGGGGTCAGAAGCTGGGCGAGCACAGGACTGGTGCGGGCGTGGATGCACCGCCAGATGGTGATCAATATTTTCTGCCTGTAGAGCTCGCTGACACGGTACAGGGAGTGAGCAGTGAGCAGCGGCTGCATGGCTGTCCGGGGCGGGTTGCCATCGATACAGCGGATGGCTCTGTTTTGCGTGGTTTGCAGTCGTTTCAGTTGACCCTCTCGCATTGCGGCTGAGAAACAGCAGGAGCCATAAAGCAGGTCGGGCATTATGACCGCCTTCACATACACCTGACGAGAGCATCTTGATAGGCTTCGGCGTGCCCGCCACAAGGCGCCAATTTTCTTGGCAACCTTGGTGACCACATAGTTTACATGGGTGTCCCAATCTAGGCGATTGTCAAGGTGAACGCCGAGGTAGCGCGCAGAAGACGCTGAGGGGAGGAGACAGTCGCCGCTTTTGACTGTTACTTCCTGTACATGCTGCTGAGGAGAGATAGTCAGAACCTGGCTCTTGGTGGCGTTCAAGATGAGGCCTCGGGACTTCAGCCAACCGGCCAGAGCAGTTGCCGCTGTGGTGAGGGTTCTGGACGCTTCCGCCGCTGAGGCCTGGGAGTCGTACAGGGCTATGTCATCTGCAAATTGTACACTTGGCACAGGCGAGGAAACCAAAGGGACATCGCGTGTGTATATACTGAAGAGGACAGGGCCGAGAACAGAGCCTTGGGGTACTCCGCAGGTGCAAGCCAGAGCAGGGCTGGTTGAAGGCGAGATGAGGATCTGCTTCTTGCGGCCGGACAAGTAGTCGACGAACCAACTAAGGGCGTTTCCAGAAATTCCAACCGCAAGGAGGTCTTGAATTAACTTGTCGTGGTGCACTTTATCAAAAGCTTTCGACATGTCTAATAGGCACAGCCCTGTGGTCTTGCCACTGTCTCTCGCCTTCTGTAGATTATCAGTCAGCACACAGAGGGCGTCTTCCGTGGAACATTTCTTGCGGAAGGCAAATTGTGTTTCGGGTAATGCCTGGGTCAAGTCCAAATGACGAACTAACTGGTGTTGCACTACCCTCTCCAGCAACTTGGACACTATTGGGAGAAGGGATACAGGTCTATAGTTGGTGGGGACTGATGGGTCACCGGCCTTGTACAGTGGCACGACAGACGCCAATTTAAATGCGGATGGAATGGTTCCAGTCCTCAGCGAGGTGCAGAACAGCACAGCAAGAGAATATGAAAGCAAGTCAGCACACTGCTGTAGCAGAGAGCCCGGTATGCCGTCACTACCTGTGGCTTTCCGCGCATTCAACTTCTCAAGGAGACGTCGGACGTCAGCAGGAGTCACAGGATCAAGTTCGGTCAAGGAGACGGGTCCAGCGGGACCGTGCGGGGTACAGAGTTGTTCAGGACGGTTGGGATCGGTGACAATGGAGTGGAACGTGTCGGCCACCTCGCTGATGCTACAACTAGGATCTTGGCGGCGACGTGAACGCCCAGTGACTGCATTTAGAATGGCCCAAGACTTCCTAGGGTTGGCCACATTTTCTTCGCACTGACGGGAGAAGTACTCGTTTCGCTTGCGCCGATACGCGTTCCGAGCAGTGCTACGTGCTTGTTTAAACTCTGCATACAGTGTGCCGTTTGTCCTATCCTTCCGCCAACGGCTGTGCAGCCGCCGTTTACGCTGTTCGAGCTGGTGCAGCTCTCTGTCAGACCAGGGAGGTATCGCCCTCCGGGAAGGCTTAGAGTTGTGCAGCGGGGCATGCTTGTCCAAAACGTACAGGAACTTAGTGTGCCACTCTTTCCACATGTGATTTACATCATTGTGATCCGAAAAATCATGTAGAGAAGCCTCAAGGATATCTTGCCGAAAAGAGTTAATGTCAACGCCACGTATATTCCTGGTCAGCCGCGACGTCGTGGATGACGCGGGTGGAACGTCAACGGCAAGCTGAATAAAGGCTTCCACAGCGCTGTGGTCACTAATATCAGTGGGCACAACCGTTGCTAGGGACACTAGCGCCGGGTTGGTCAATATGAGATCGATCATCGTGCCTTCAGGGCACTGTGGAGTTTCACGGGTCGGCCGCATGACGATGTTCTGGAGGCCAAACGCAGCACAGAGGTCGGTGAGGTGTTTGTGCTGGGGTGCCGGATGGGCTGGGTCCATATTTACATTAAAGTCTCCAACTAGGGTCACGGAAGAAGACTGCACAGCTGCTCGTACAATATCTGCTTCCAAATCTGCCCAGTAAGACACTGGCTCCCCCGGTGGCCGGTACACGCAACCAACCAGGTGCCGACCTGGTTTTCCGTTTATTTCTACCCAGACTGTTTCTGTAGATTCAGAATGCAGATCTGGGCGGGATCGAACTGGGATAGGTGCACCCTTCAGACAAACGTAAGTTGCACATATTATTATTACAGGTAGACTCCCTTTAATTCGAACCTCAAATTGCCAGGCCCTAACTTCGAATTATCCAGAACTTCTAATTATCCAAATGCAGCCCCGTGCACTGATATGTATGTAAAAATGCTTGAAATCGCATGCTGAATATTTTTTGCACATTTTTATTTGCATCAACGAAACATAGGTGGTCGTACTGGTCATGTACATGTACAACGGATCATCAAAACACTGGATCGACACAAAAATTAATCATTTTGACAATATCTCCATCTTCTAGTGAAGAGGTAACAGTCACTAGTGCACTGCAGCTTTCCTGAAACGGCACAGAACTGCGCTGCCTAATCCGCGTCATGAAAGGCCGTCGGACAGCAGCACGTCGTTCTGAAGAACGGAAGTGAAGCATAGGCATCGAAAATATTTACGACCATGGTGTTGTTGTGCGCCAACATCTCCGCGCACGAGCTGGCGCTGCAAGAAAGGCCATCGAGATCCGCGTCCACCTGGAAGAAGTCGTTTTGCACGGGCTTTAATCAAATTTCGAGAGAAGGTGGGTTTCTTTAACCCTATAGTCGATCCTGCAGCGGACCATTGATCGATTTTTGAGCTACTCTTGGCTAGAGAAGGAGAAAAGAATGAACTTCGAATAGACCGATCCCCTTATTATAAATATATGCACTGGGTTCGAGCACGGGGGCAACCTCGGAGACCAACGCCCGCTTCGGCCTCAAGACCAAATACTGCCCCTCGAAGGTACCAGAGATGAAGGGATTTGAGGATGACGTCACGAAGATGATTGAGAACCTGAGATTCCGAAGAGTATCTGATGGAAGGCCTTTTTCTACCTGAAGGGTGACAACACCAAAGAGGAGACCAACGCCCGCTTCGGCCTCAAGACCAAAAACTGCCCCCCGAAGGTACCAGAGATGAAGGGATTTGAGGATGACGTCACGAAGATGATTGAGAACCTGAGATTCCGAAGTCGTATGTCCTTGGGGTCGTCGTATGTCTGTTGTGTTGATTGACATTCTTCTTCTATACTGGAGAATATTCCAGCGAGTGAATCCAGAGCAAGTGCTATGGAAATGGATTAGCGAGAGCTCATAATAGCCAGACAGACCCACGAGTCCTTTCTTGAACCGAACAATAATCATCTATGGCATTCAACATGCAGTTTGGGAAGCCATGCAGTCCTGGGACAAATATCCAAATGCATTCTTGTCTCCAGACCAAACAACGATTGTTATCATACTTGACAATTTCCAACTCTAGACCACCATGCCAGCTCAAGCAAAAAGAAGCAAAGGAAGACGGAGATTTCTACTTGTGCAGCCATTCGGGGAGGAGCACGAAGGCTGTTTTAACATTATATGATTCGACTGTGCACGCACTTTCCAAAAGTGTACTTATCACATACCACGTGAACTCTTGGCTGTTTGCAGTGCGATATGCTTACATGTGCATGCCCTTGCCGCACATTCACACTCCAGTACAAAACATAATATGCAAATATGTAATGCACATAATGTAACATTCTACGCTTGAAAGCAGATCAGCATTCAAACTTTTTCATTGCCTTCAGGCTGCAACAGCATATTGCAAGAGGGCACAATGGCCCAACCCAACATCTTCCCGAACACCATCGGCCATGGCAGTACAGACCATCTGATATCACTCACACCAGTGACACCACCCACATAGAAGAGAAGCAATGTTGATACTTCATAGTGAACACGTTACAAATACTACTGAGAGTGCATATAGGCAGTACACCAGGTTCAGGATGCATTGATCCATTCTTCTGCTTCGGCTATGCATGCTGTCAAGAGTACATAACCCCCAAGAGTGTGCAACGGGCATAGACCCAGCCCTCGGCGAAATTCCTACATTACGTCATGCGCAGCTTGTCATCCGACTATGATCCGAGGTAAATTTGGGTTCTTTGCGATTTCTGGAAACTATACCCTGAACCGCTTAGGCACCGGCGGATTATGCTCGCGAAATCAAGGAATTATGCTTTCATGGATTCTCGCATTATGCTCGTAAAATCCTCATATTATGCTTTGGCACCCGGGGATATACAAGTATATTCACTTTGTTGTACTTATGGAGCCTCAAAGCGAATAATCAGCTCATCTCTCCCTAGCTCCACGTCTCCTTCCATCATGACCGAACATCATCTATACATCAATTTAGAGCAATATCCGTAGCCTGCAGTCATATCATGGCTGCTAAAATCCAGACTGGTCATGACTTCGTAACATGCATAATGTACAAATGTAATGTACATGTACATGTACACGGAGTTTTGCGGACTACCCGCCACTACATGTACATGTATCTCGTCTGCCCCGGGATACCTGATGAAGGCTGATTCACTCGCATCTTCTGCTACATGTACTGTGTCAGTGTGAGAAAGAACTTTGAAGAAGACGAGTTCGAGCATACAATAATGCATTGCCATGATTTCTACCCTGCATGCCTGCTTTTCATTGAAAACACTATCTGCATGACCTCCGAACCCTTTGCCATGCAGACCACCAGCACTGATCAGGTGCATTGTACACAGTTGTATAGCCTACATACTAGAACTGTGGTATAATTGTGTAGTTATGCTCCTACCTCCGAGAGGATGCCAAATTATGCTCCAAATTTTCAACCATCAAATTATGCCAATAATTATGCCGGCATATTTCGCCGGTGCCTAGAACCGCTCCTAACTCAAGGGTGTAGCCTCGGGTTTTCGAAGCTTTTTTTGAAGACTTTTTGGGACGTACAAGTCGTACTTTCTCAAAAACAAACTCTTTCTCCAAGAATCCATGGATATCACGACAGGAAGAAGTGAGGACGCTGTAAACATGGTGCATTGCCGTCGAGGACAATCATTCTGATAGCTGT